TCTATTTTCAGAACCAAAATGAATTCTCTACAGCAATATTCAAATTTTATTCTGAATGAAAATCACCAGGAAACCTCGTTAAAATGTAGACTGCTGAGCCCCATCCCTACCTTCTAATTCAGTAGATCTAGGATGAAACAAATGCTAACAAGTTCCCAAGTGATACTTAAGGCTAGTCCCAGGGTTCAGGGCTAAAAGCAATGGCTGCTTAAGACCCAGTCATAGATATGATGCTAATCGCCTTACAGTGCTACCACACACTCTGATAAGCCCTCTCTTTTCCCTGACTCAGCCAAAGGCTATATCCCATGTAAGGGGGAGATGGTGAAAATGATGCATTTCATCTTCTTTAGGAATCTTGCTGGTTTTATTCCAACCTCTTTAATGATTATTTTACACCTCTTTTTAGGCTCATTTATTTTACCCCTCACACATACATGACCACAAAATTCTATAGGTTCTGTATCCTAAATATCTGCAGAGGCTCTTCCTCTCCAGTCCCCTTCTCACCTCTTGATTCAGGTAACAATTATCTCTCACTCACAATTCTGCAAGAGCTTTCTATATTTGGTATTCTTTTCTTACCATCCTTCAACTCATTTTCATTCCACTATCACAGAAAGTTTCCTGAAACAGAAATGTGATCCTAAAACTGTGCTGCTCAGAATTTCTCCAGTGTAGCCCCTTGGCCTTCAGCAGAGAGGAAGGAAGGAGGTGAGGTCTCAGAGACATTAATTTTCACTTTCAGTCATCCTCTTCCTTCCTCCAATCACACCAATACTCATAGCATTCTAGACCAACTTTGGCAGAAGAAGGAAGAAGTTAAATTGGACAACTTCCTCTACTGAAAACTGCTACTTTTCATTTCAGTTTAATAGCATTTATAGGTATCTGCTATTTGCAATGCTTTGTGCTTTTTCACCAATCCTCACAAAAATCAGGTGGTTTTACAGGGGGAAGGAATGAGACACAGCGTGAAGGAGCTACGTAAGGTTATACCAAGCTAGTTAGATAAATGTGCCTGTACAGGTTGCTTGCCATTGAACATCACAAGAATCGGTTCATTTTTCAAATGTATGATTTAGGCAGTAGAGGTTAAGAATAGAAGCCCTAACTTCAGACACTCTTGATTGGAAACCTGATTCTGCCATGAGGTAGCCATGAGTAAGTTACTTATCCTTCTAATAATCCCCTTGTGATAATAGCAACCTAAAATAACCCCTGCAACCTCTGACTCCATGTATTCATGCCTTTGTGAAACAATCTCCTCTTGAGTATGAGCAGGACCTGTGACTTGCTAAAAGGATGTGATCAAGGTGATGGGATATCACTCCCATAATTATACTGTGTTATGAGTGAAGGGATTTTGCAAGTGAAATTAAGTTAAAGTTCTAATCTGCAGAACCTCAGAACCTCTGTAGAACCTCTGTTCTAATCTCCCCTAATCAAGTAGTCCTTTTAAAGGGGTTTATTCCTTCCCTAAGCTTAGAGATTCCAGATAGCAGACTACCTCTTCTGCCAACCCTAAAGAAGTAAGCCATTATTAATTTTACAGATATACAGAAATAAATTTTGCCAGAATCCACATGGACTTGCAAGAGGACCCCAAGTCTAAGATAACACTGCAGCCTCTTGCACATAGTCTTGTGAGAGCCTAAGCAGAGGAGTCAGATAAGTTTTGCCCAGACTCCTGATCCATGGAAACTGTGAAATAATAAATGCATATTGTTTTAAGCTGCTAAGTTTGCATTATTTATTTGTTTATTTATTATTACACTTTAAGTTCTAGGACACATATGCAGAATGTGCAGGTTTGTTACATAGGTATACATGTGCCATGGTGGTTTGCTGCACCCATCAACCCGTCATCTATATTAGGTATTTTTCCTAATGCTATCCCTCCCGTTGCCCCCCACCCCTCAACAGGCCCCAGTGTGTGATGTTCCCCTCCCAGTGTCCATGTGTTCTCATTGTTCAGCTCCCACTTATGAGTGAGAACATGCGGTGTTTGGTTTTCTGTTCCTGTGTGAACTAATTTACACTCCCACAAACAGTGTGAAAGCATTCCTATTTCTCCAAATCCTCTCCAGCATCTGTTGTTTCCTGACTTTTTTAATGATAGCCATTCTAACTGGCATGAGATGGTATCTCACTGTTGTTTTGATTTGCATTTCTCTAATGCCCAGTGATGATGACCAGTGATGATGACTAGGCATGGGCAAAGACTTCATGTCTAAAACATCCAAAGCAATTGTAACAAAAGCCAAAATTGACAAATGGGATCTAATTAATTTAAAGAGCTTCTGCACAGCAAAGGAAACTATCATCAGAGTGAACAGGCAACCTACAGAATGGGAAAAAATTTTTGCAATCTATCCATCTGACAAAGGGCTAATATCCAGAATCTACAAGGAGCTTAAACAAATTTACAAGAAAAAAACAAACAACCCCATCAAAAAGTGGGTGAAGGATATGAACAGACACTTTTCAAAAGAAGACATTTATGCGGCCAACAAACATATGAAAAAAAGCATTCGTTTTTTAATGCAGCAGTGGTTAACTAACACATCCCTTCTTCCTGTATTTCACCACCAACAATCCTTCTCACACCTGCCAAAAAAGGGAAAGTGGTAGAGGGAAGGTAGGGACCAAACAGCACATGTGTACTGGGCCGAGCTGGTTTGGGAGCAATCACATCTTTACTTATCCCCAACCCTGGACAGTCAGAATGGCTTCAGTAGTGCTGCTCTGAGGAACCAGATAAAATACCCTAGAGGAGTGTGGCCTACCAGAGGGCAGAGGAGTGATGGGATTAGACAAAAAGACACTCTTCTTCTTCCACTTTCCTCACAGTTCTGCTTATTTCTGGAACTCAAGGAGGTGAGAGCTTTGCCAAGCAAAGAGGGTGGAGCTGGCTCTGCTTCTCAAGTAGGCAGCCAGGAGCAGTCAGCTGTGACCACTCAAGCACTAAAGCACCTGAGTTCCTAGGAGGTGTAAATCCCTAGGCTGTGGCTCTGTGGGGTTGGGGTTTGTGTACAGACAGGTGTGACATCCTCTGCTCTTTAAGGCCTGTAAAAACTGGTGGGTAGAACAATATTAACATATGGAGAAAGTTAAGTAATAAAGATGGCCACATCAAATGATTGGCACAGGCAGTAATGCATGGAGTGGAGAAACAAAGCTAGGCTTGATGACACAATACCCATAGTCATAGTTTGATTCTGCCACTAACTGCCTTGGGACTTAAGTCTGTCTCAACACATCCTTGGACTTGGGTTTCCAGGACTGTAATATAAAGAGCTTGTATGTTTGCTGGTTTGTAATTTATTCAGAAATATATTGCCTTTCTCAAGTGAAATGAAGAAAAAAGATGAAAAGCAGAGCTGTTCTGGCTAAAGCAAGGGAACCAGCATAAACACAACTGCAGGGGATGAGCCCTAAAGTCCCTTCTGACTTTAACATCTTCTGATGATGTGGTGGTTCTCCAGCGGAGACTGCCTGGGATATGAACTGGGAGGATGCATGCAGGTTCAAGCACCCTGCAACTATCATAAGATCCTGCAAGTGTGGTAGTACTGATGAGAAGAGGAGCCAATACAAGAGCATACACCCTCTACTCCTGCAGGACTTCCAATGTATGCATCAAGAACAGACACAGCCATCTTGCTTTTAGCCATTCTTCTATTAGACTTGCAGCAGTCAATATCAGTCAGAACTTTCTGTAGTGCTCCAAAAACTGCTCTACTCTAAGTCTCAGTTAGAAAGGCTAAGCTATGTAAGTTCCATTCTCCTTATGTGAACTGTACCACGGAAGTCAGTTTTACTGCTTCAAGGAGTCACTGCATTTCAACTGTGTGTGGCATCAAATAGAAACTCCCACCCCAACCATGCTATTTTCTATTCACAAATTATACACCCCACAATCTCTACCAACCCTCACAACCAGCATTATAAACACAAACAATAGAAAAAAGCCTTTCCCCAGATCTTGTAGTTTGGGCCCTGGCCAGTTCCTTGAAGAAGAGCTTTTGTACTTGTGCATCAATGGCTGTCTCATATAGCTTCTGGTATTGTGTAGAGAAGACTAATAAATGAACAAAATATTCATTTTTCATCCAGTGCATTTATTGAACACCTACCATGTGTCTAGTACGGTCCCAGCCACTGTGGATACAGCAGTGAACTACATAGACATCCCCTAGCACTGGAGGAATGAGTGCATCTATTCTTCAGGGGAATAAGGGTAGCATACTGCAGAATTCATTATGCTTATAGATGTTCTGGCTGACTCAATGCCACCAGCCATCATTGAGACTCACTTGTCATCGGGATTTCTCTGCAGCTGATACCACAGCTATAAGGAGAAAATCAACTTACTATTTTCCATGGGGAAATTTGGCTCAATAAGATAAATGTATTTTAATTTTTTTCTGAGATTGTTTAACAGTATACTAAAGTAAGCATTTTCAAGGTATTCTCTGTTAGGCCTCCTGGCAAATAGTTTCTTTGAGGGTGAAATAGACAAATTGCAAAAGATATGTGTCCTTGGTCACCTGTGTACTATCCAGGCTCTCACAACTGGCCATGCCCCTGGCATCCTGCTTTGCTGGATAGATTTCAGAGAAGGGTCATCTGAAGGCCATGAAACCTGGTTTCTGGCTCTGAGGGTAGATTAGGGTAAAGTTCAAAGAAAGGGCTTCAGATTCCATGCACAGAAGCTCATGTTTCTATGAGGTTGTTTTATGACTGTGCAAATCCAGAATCCTGTCATTGGACAGAGTGGTCAAATACAGGATCACTATCAGAAGATAGAGGACGATGGGGTACACAGTCCTATTTTAGACAGGGAAGTTCAGAAAGGCCTCCACGAGAAGGTGATATTTGCATTCAAACTAGAATAAAGTAAGGGAATGAATTATAGACTTCTGGAAGTAGAAAATTCCAGAGAAAAAGAAGAAACTGTACAAACATACCAAGGGTGGTGAATGTTCAATTTATAGGAAGAAGATAAGTGCAACTGGACACAGTGAACAAAGGAAAGGTCAAAGGGCTGGATCCTGTGGGCCAGGTAAGCAGACTGAGGGAAGGACTTGGGATTGCTGTGTGTGTGCGTGCATGTGTGTGTGTGTGTGTGTGTGTGTGTGTGTGTGTGTGAAAAAGAGAGAGAGAGACAGACAGAGAGACAGAGAAAGGGAGAGATGGGAAATTATTAGAGAGTTGTAAGCAAGGGGTGATATAATCTAACATTGTGTGTTAAAAGGCTCACTCTGACCAAGGTTAGCCCCCATGGACCCAGTTTCCAAGCCCACTACAGTGCCAGGCCAGTCATCATGGTCTCAGGTTCCAGGTCCACCCCAACATCAGGTTGGCTCCTGTAGCCCTAGGCTCTAGACTAGTCCCTGAAGATCTAGCTTCTAGGCCTACCTCAGCACTAGGACAGCTCTTATGACCACAGGCTCCAGGTCCACCTCGTACCAGTCTGGCCCACTGCAGACACCAGCATCAGTCCCACCCAAGTGAACTCAGGCTCTGGGTTTCCTCCAGAGACAGTCTACTCCCTGAAGACACAGGCTTCAGGCCAGCCCTCACGGTTCAGGGATCAAGGATGTCACTTGTGAACCTAGCCTCCAGGCCTGCCCCATCACCAGGCTGATCTCACAGACAGCTTCCAGGCTGGCCCCTAGGGTCCTAAGCTCTATGGATCCAGGTACCAGGCCAGTCCCTGTGGACCCAGGTATTGGGATCACCTACCCACTGACCCAGGCACTATGCCAGTTGACCTGGAGACTTTCACAGCAAGCCTGTCTGCAGACCCTGCTGGCTACTCTGCTAAGAGTCTCTGGACAAGCTGACTGGTAAAGGACTTTCACTGAAGTTGTCAGTCTATAAAGACTGGAAAAGATGCCCACTTGTTCAAATGCAGACACTACTGCAAATCCACAAGGATCACAAATAATCAGGGAAATATGACACCACCAAAGGAACAAAATAAAGTACCAATAACTGACCCTCAGAAATGGAGACCTATAAACTTCCTGACAAAGATTTAAAAATAATTATCTTAAAGAAGTTTAGTAAGCTACAAGAGAACATAGACAACTAAACGGTATCAGAAAAAACAATACATAAACACAATGACAAGTTCAATAAAGAAAAACAAAACCAAACAAAATCCAAATAGAAATTTGGAGCTGAAGAACACAATGACTGTACTGAAAAATTCCATAGAAACCTTCAGCAGCAGACTTCATCAGACAGAAGAATCAAGGCACACAAAGATGTGTTTTTAAAAATTAGCCAGGCAGAAGAATAAAAAGATAAAAAGTGAAGAAAGCCTATAGAACTTGGGACACCATTAAACAAATGAATATATGCCTTTTTTGCATTACCAAAAGGAAAAGAGAAAGAGAAAGAAGCAGAAAGCTTATGTGAAGAAACAATGCAGAAGCATTTTCAAATCTAGAAAAGGAAATGAACATCTGTATCCAAGAAGCTCAATGAATCCCAATAGATTAAACATAATGAGATCTTGATTGAAACACATTGTTATAAAATTCTTTTAAAAAAAGAATTTTGAAAGCAATAAGAGAAAAGCAACTCATCACTTACAACAGAACCACTACAAAACTATAGGTAGATATCTCAGAAGAAAACCTGCATGCCAGGAGACAGTAGGATAATCAAGTGCTGAAAGAAAATATCTTGGCAACCAACAATACCATACTCAGTAAAACTGTCCTTCAGAAATGAAGTAGAGATAGAGACTGTCCCAGACAAACAAAAGATGAGGGAGTTATCACCACTAGATCTGCCTTACAAGAAATGCTTTGTAAATACTTCAAGTTGTAATGAAAAATGCTAACAACATGTAACAGTATAAAACTCACTGGAAAGTTGAGAGATAGTCAAATTCAAAAACTCTAATACTGTAACAATTGTGTGAAAATCACTTTTAACTCCAGCATAAAGTTAAAAAGACAAAATTATTTAAAATAACTATAGCTACAATAATGTGTCAAGGAATACACAATATAGAAAGATGTAATTTGTAATATTAGTAATATGTAAGGGAAGAAGAACTTAAAATACAGAGATTTTGTATGTTGAGTTGCTTACAACCTAAAATAGTCTGTTATAACTATAAGATAATTTATGTAAGTCTCATTATAATCACAAAGAAAAAATCCTGTAGCAGATACCCAAAAGGAAATGATAAAGAAGTCAAAGCATACCACTGCCAAAAAAAAAAAAAAAAAAAAAAAAATTCCAATCACAAAAGAAGAGAGGAAGAGAGGAATAAAGAAAAGAGCCCAAATAGCAAAAAGAACAAAGCTGGAGGCATCACATTACCTGATTTCAAACTATACTACAGGGCTGCAGTCACCAAAACAGCATGGTACTAGTACAAAAACAGGCACATAGATTAATGGAACATAATAGAGAGCCCAGAAATAAGGCTGCACACCTACAACCACCTGATCTTTGACAAAGTTGACAAAAACAAGCAATGGGAAAAGACTCACTGTTCAATAAATGATGCTGAGATAACCAGCTAGCCATATGCAGAAGAAGCTGGACGCCTTCCTTACACCATACACAAAAATCAACTCAAGATGAATTAAAGACTTAAATGTAAATCCCCAAACTATAAAAACTCTGGAAGACAACTTTGGCAATACCATCCTGGACATAGGAACAGGCAAAGATTTCATGACAAAGAGACCAAAAGCAATTGCAACAAAGCAAAAATTGACATGTGGGATCTTATTAAACTTAAGAGCTTCTGCACAGCAAAAGAAACTGTGAACAGAGTAAACAGACAACCTACAGAATGAAAGAAAATATTTGCAAACTATGCATCTAATATTCAGATCTATAAGGTCTAATATCAACATCTATAAGGAACTTAAACAAATTTACAAGAGAAAATAACCAATCCCATTAAAGGGGGCAAAGGAAATGAACAGACACTTTTCAAAAGAAGGCATACATGTGGCCAAGAAGCATATGAAAAAGAAGCTCAATATCAGTAATCATTAGAGCAATGCAAATCAAAATCACAATGAGATATCATCTCACACCAGTCAGAATGGCTATTATTAAAAAGTCAAAAATAACAGATGCTAGTGAGGTTGCAGAAAAAAGGGAGCTCTTATACACTGCTAATGGGAGTGTAAATTAGTTCAACCATTGTGGAAAGCAGTATGATGATTACTCAATGAGCTAAAAGCAGAACTACCATTCAACCCAGCAATCCCATTACTGGATGTATGCCCAGAGGAATATAAACCATTCTACCATAAAGACGCATGTGAATATTCATTGTAGCACTATTCACAATAGCAAAGACATGGAATCAACCTAAATGCCTATTAATGACAGATTGGATAAAGAAATTTTGGTACACAGACACCACGGAATACTATGCAGCCATGAAAAAAATGAGATTATGTCTTTTGTGGGAACATGGATGGAGTTAGAGGCTATTATCCTCAGCAAACTAATACAGGAATAGAAAACCAAATACCACATGTTCTCACTTACAAATGGGAGCTAAAAGATGAGAATTTACGAACACAAAGAAGAAAACAACAGACAATAGGGTCTAATTGAGGGTGAAGGGTGGGAGAAGGGAGAGGAGCAGAAAAGATAACTATTAGGTACTGTGCTTAATTCTTGGGTGATGAAATAATATGTACAACAAATCCTTGTGACATGAGCTTACCTGTGTAACCAACCTTCACATGTACTCCCAAACCTAAAATAAAAGTTAAAGAAAGAACTACAAAAGAGTCAGAAAACAACTTTTAAAATTAAAATAGTAAATACTTGCATATCAATAATTAGTTTAAATGTAAACGGATTAAATTCTCTGATCAAAAGGTAGAGTGGCTGAATGGATTATAAAACCAACATCTAACTATATACTTTCTACAAGAGACTCACTTTAGCATTAAGGACATAGATAGTATGAAAGTGAAGATATGGAAAAAGATATTCCATGCAAATGATATCTAAAAGATAGCAGGGGTAGCTATATTTATATCAGAAAAGATAGACTTTAAGGAGAACACTGTCATAAGACAAAAAGAAAGTTATTACACAATTTAAAAATGTCAGTTCATCAAGAGAATATAATGGTTATAAGTATATATGCACCCAACATTTTAGCATCAGAAGATATAAAGCAAATATTAACAGAGCTAAGTAGAGACATAGACAGCAATACAATCGTGGTAGGGTATATCAATACCCTGCTTTACAAAGGATAGATCAGCCAGACAGAAAATTAATAAAGAAATGGTAGACTTGAACAATACTATAGATCAAATGGATCTAACAGACATATATAGAACATTTCATCCAACAGCAAAATAATACACATTCTTCTGAAGTGCACATGTAACATTTTCTAGGATAGATCATATGTTATGTCACCAAACAAGTATTAACAAATATAAGAATATTGAGATCATATCAAGTATCTTTTCCAACTATAATAGTATGAAACTAGAAGTCAATAACAAGAGTGAAATTGGAAAATTCATAAACATGTGAAAATTAACCAATATGCTCCTGAAATCAAAAGAGAAAGAAAAACATCTTGAGACAAATGAAAATGGAAACAAAACATACCAAAATTATGGGTATAGCAAAAACAAATGTAAAAAGGAATTTTATAGTGATAAATGCCTACATTAAGAAAAAAGAAAGAACTCAAATAAACAACCTAACTTTATCTCTCAAGGAACTAGAAAAAGAAGAACAACTTAGCAGAAGAAAGGAAATAGTAAAGATTAGAGCAGAATTAAGTGAAAGAGAGCCTAGAAAAAAAAATCAATGAAACTAAAAATTGGTTTTTGAAAAAGATCAGTAAAATTGATAAATCTTAAGCAGATCATCCAGTAAAAAAAGAGAGAAAAGACTCAACTAAATAAAATTATGAAAGAGAAGACTGTATGATGCCACAGAAATACAACAATCACAAGAGAATACTATGAACATGCCAACATATTGGATAACTTTGAAGAAATAGATAAATTTCTAGAAACATACCAAGACTGAATC